CCGCTTGCTCTTTTGTGGGTGTTGAGGCCACAGCAAGATGGACAGCTGGAGACCATTTTAACAATAGCTTATGAAGTTCAGGGTTTAAACAAAGAACTACGTACTTGAGTTATTATTGAGAAATCTGGAAGAAAGTAGTTACTTTTCAAAACTGTTTCTTTAATGGTAACTACTTCTTGGGTCCTCGGCATGATAAAGGTAGCTTTTAATTAAAAAAAAGTAAGCTCTGGTTGGAGTAGTAAGCATTCAACAGACATAACTGTAGACAGTCGTGGCTGTATATCTCAATGGCTGAGGTATCTGGCTGAGGAGCCAGAAGTTGGGAGTTCAATTCCCCACTGTTTCCTATGAGTAGAGCTAGCCTCTGTGGCCTTGAGCAACCCACACAGTCTCAGGGAGCCCCTAGAAGAAGGGACTGGTAAACCACTTCTGAGTACCTGGAAAGCCCTGAAAAGGGTCGCCGTAAGTCAGAATTGACTTGACAGCATACAGTATGTTTATGATAAATATTAACAGTACCGAGGGGTTTAAAGAAAGCTAAGCCTGACTCATTGAATCCTAAAGCAATCTGCCCTCTGGATTCAGCCCAGAAATAGAGAGATATGGAAGTCCCAAGGGAGTTGTAAGGTTTCCACACAGAAACGCAGGCAGCTGCTTATCCAGAATCAGTGCATTCTTCTTCTCTCAGTTTAGTGAGAGCATAGCAGCAGTTCTCAGACCAAAGGCCTATTTTAGTCCAGCAACCTGTTTTCCACAGTGATCAATCAAATGCCAGCAAACGAGATAGACTTCCGAGACTACCTTCTTGTTCTTGCCTTTGACTTGCTGATAATTCAGAAGCACGTCACCTTTTAATTTGGAGGTAGCATGCCATCTCCATAGCTGGTAGTCATGGATAGCCTTATCGTTCATGAATTTATTTTAATATGCTTTTAAAGCCATCTAGCTAGGTATCCAGCTTCACAACTTGTGGTAATCAGTTCCCAGAGCCTGGAAACAATGGCTTATAAGTAGACATGTGCAGATTTGTGGTTTAGTAGAGTACAATTCCCAGAATTCTCTGGACAGTTATACTGCCTAAGGAATTCTGGAAGCTGCAGCCCAAAAGCACAAATTTGCACACCTGCGGACAAATAATGATGCTACTTACTTTTTGCAATGGTAGCTTGTTTCAGAATAACAAACTTACAGAACTTTTGGGAGAGGGAGTAAGAAGTCATGTTTATTCATAGCTTTCAAAATATTTCAGGGAGGAGAACTTTTCTGCTTATATGTTTTGTTATTAATTTACAGATTTAAAAAAATACAAAGTAACCCTTCAAACATAATGACTAATGTGTTATTTTAAAATATAAAGTAACTTTAAAGAATACTGTTTCAAACTTGTTTAACTAGGCACTGTACGAAAGAAGGCTTACTTTGGGTTTGGCTGGATGACCTTGTATGCAAAGGAGGGGGCAAACCGTTGGTATGTTCACATTGTCATACAATGCATATTCCCATAGATGTCTCTCAAGACTTCTCTTATTTAGGCTCACTCCAGTTAGACCCAGTTATGGTACAACTGTGAACAGGATTGATTCAGTCAGCACATCTGTAAGCTTTATTGAACTTAATGGGTCTACTCTAGTTGGGAGGGATTAACGATTGGATTTAGCTCCTCAAATGAAAAGTCTCAAAACAGTTCTAATTCTTCTCATAGAGGGACTTCCTGAAATTATTTGAGATAGTCCCCAAACTCCCAAATAAGCATGTTGTGCCTGCAGAAAACCCAGGCCTACAGAATACTCCTTCCTTTTTTCTGCCTCTCAGCATTCATAACACCACAAGACTTTGTGTATAGAAGAGGAAGAGGAATGCCATCACTATCCAGGAGCTCACCTTTAGTAATGAGTTCACATGAATTTGGAAATTGTACTGTTTTGGACTACATTGCCCAGAATCCCCTAACCAACATAACTAATTAGCATACTACATGAGGAGTACGAGGGGTGTAGTACAAAAAAAGTATATCCAGCTCAGGTTGTCACAGACTCTGGTAACAGAGCTACGCAGCTTATGCTTTTAGATGAGTTCAGGAGCCTTTACACAACACTTTCAGCTGTTGGTACCCCAAACTCTAGAAGACCATCTCTCTCTCTCTCTCCCCCCATGCATGTTGAGCTATTTATGAATTACAACATCACAACACATCTTCCGATCCATTACAACCCCTTTAATTTTAGCACTTCTTCTGCCTATAAAATATTAACATCTGTCTTTTTTTAAAAAAACCTCCTGCCAAACAGCAATTGGACCCCCGACTCCCCTTCATTGAGCCACATAGACAAGGTCCTCTTATTTATCTGTCTTTGGGGGACACGAGCAAGGGAGGTCGATCAAGAGAGCAGTAAAAGGTTTAAAGAGCATCAATTTTCATGCTTTCCCTCTGCTGACTGATGGAGAGACACCAAAAAGCAGCCCTGCACAGAGGCAGAACAACACATGCTTTCCCCTCACACACACTCTCTTTCCACCTTTTCAAAGGGTCTTCCTGATTTATTGCCTGTTGGTGGGCTTTGCACTGCCACACAAGCCTCTTTGGTGACCAGCCTCCAGCACTGAATCACTGCTGCTTGCTTGGCAGCCTCCATGGGTCTGAAGCTCTGCTCGGGACCAGAGACACAGGTTAACAGTGGGCCAGAACTGGCAAACAGGAAAGAGAACCTGCCTCCAGAAAAGTATACTAGTGTAAGGTGCATCAAGGTGACACAGATACAGAGTTTACAGATGTGGTCTACAACCCCCAGAATCATATTATTCTAGCAGAGAGATATGGGGGGGGGTATAGTCCCACATTTTCAAGACCCTCAAAATATATGACAGCAGCTTGCCTCCACTAACAAACTTATATCCTGAATCTCCCAAAAGGTACAATTATCATAAACCTCCAAAACAACTTTCTTCTCATGCAGAGAAAGGCTGTTCTAATCCAGATTAGGCCACTAAACAATTATCTGAGCTGGACCACACCTTAGAATTCATGGGGCTTTAGTCCTAATTAGAAAACTGAGTCAGATATTGACAAACAAGACAGATAACTAAGAAAAATGGACCTGACGTTAAGTCAGCCATAAACATGTCACAGCAGAGAAAGCGATCATTGGTGAAAATAAATCACTTTTTAAAAAAAAATTTAACATGCACATGCCAAATCAATTTTTTTTTAAAAAAGCAAAAACAAAAATGTGAAATTTTAATATAAGATGTTAATGGTGTGAAACGTTTATTTTGTTTGGTGTAGTGGGGGGAGGAGTATAACATTTTCAACTCTATTCTTTCACTTCAGTGACAGATTTATCCCAGTAAAATTATGTTTCATGCTCAAGCTTTGAAGGGAAAGTGGCTACGTAGATGCAGAAAAAATGCAGCGAGGCACACTTGATCCCCTAACTGGACTGCGAAGAGGAGAAAGTATTCAGGAAATGTTAAAAAAGGTGAAAGTAAGAAGAGTTTTAATAGCTCTTCCAGACATGGGGGTCTCTCCAGAGATTCATATAGAACAATCCTGAACCTCTATTTTAACATTTACAGACTTGCAACTCTTTTAAAACTTTACATCTGAAAAACTGCTTGTGTTCTCTTTCTGTTTTAGATCATTGCTCAGTTTGCTTCTTAGCTCTTCAAATGCTTAACCTTTTTATTATGTTTTAATAGAGGTCTTTTCTTTTTCAAGCCGCTCCCCTCATCTCACTCATGGCTTTAAATAACATTGTTATTTAAATCTAAAGTAACCTCTCTTTTTATATCAGGCATTTAAAAGGGGGAGGGAAACAAGAAGAACCTCCTTTAAATTATGGCTAGTTTATGGCCAGGATATTTTGCTTGAAAGGTTAAAATATACGTATATACACGTGGAATCTCCCCAACTATTAAAACTCATCATGGAATCTTCAGCCAGGCCAAAACCTGTGAAAGGTGGTGTATTTCTGGCATAGTGGTTCTAAGGGAAGAAGGGGAATTACGGCTTATGTAGAAGACGAGGAATTCTAACTGGGAGGTGTCCAAATATGAACATGTAGCCCAAAAATCACATTATTTTGAACCAACAAATGGAAAGCAAAACAAGAGCAAGCATATAAAGCAAAGCAAAGCAAAACATCTAATCTAAGTTATACACCATCTCATGCACACGGATGAAGTTACAGAGAAGAAGCCCAAAGTCTCTTTATTGTACCTGTGGTTTACTAACATCTCTCCCCTTTGTACCCCATCGAAAGGGCAGTGAACACATCAAATAAAAGTGTGCGAAATGCTCACACTGCCCAGGGTTTCCCTCTCACACCCCTTTCCCTGAAAGAGAGCAATCCGCAACCAGATCCTATCATACATCCCAAGGGGTTTCTGTTGCTAGACCTTGGAAAAGTTACTTTCTGGGACTGACTACCAGATTCCCTTCCTCACACAAGGGATTGTTTGAGATGAAGCCCAGGATAATTACCTTTCCCATGCTGTATCCAGGTTGCACTCAGAACATAGCTGAGAAGACACTTGGCCTAAGGGTTTGCAAAACTCTTAAGTCTCTATATCTGGTGGAGAAAACATCTCCTCTTTTTCCTTGTTTCTATACGCCTGAGATTCTGGAGCTGTAGTGCAGCAACAAACTAGCCAGCCAACCCTTCTAAACAGCTAAGGAATCTCTTCTTCTTCCTCCTCACCCTTGCACAAAACGGACATTTTTTTAAAAAAAATGCAATTCACGCTATCAATGGAGTGGTGGTGAGAGATCAGGTGTAACTCCCCCACCCCACCCTGTGATAAGGAGAGCTATCCTCCTGATCCCCAGAGGAAAAGCAATGTACTATTATTACAAATATTGATCACATTCTTCCATCACAGACCCCTGCCTTCAAAATGCTTGTAATGATTTCTGGCTAACAAAGGGGACGGAAATCATCAATTACTGTGCTGCATGCACCCCCTCCTCCCACAGCCCTGCTGCTGCACATGGAAAGCCTTACCGTGTGCATCTCCATCCTCTGCCATGGCATTGATTTTCTTGTTGTCCAGAATTTGCACGTGCTTCCCACTGGTCCGACTGTACAGCTGATAGGTGCGGACGAGGCGGCGGCTTAGCTGGTCGGTCACCAGGCTCTGCTCCCTCACATGCTGTGTAAAATTAGGTGGGGACTGAACAGTTACCTTTAGGAAATTAAAAAATATACAACACACCATTATAATCTCTACTCCTCCGAGAAAGGCTATCTTGGCACGTTCCTGGTGTGTTTTGAAAGTGTATCAGATTAGTGCAGTTTAGAGCCAGGAATGTCCCTCTGGGGTCAATATAAAGAAACCCTGGCATTCTAGCTAGGACTGAGAAAGTACAAGGCTGCCCAGGCACTTATTTTTAGGAAGCACATTATGGGATAAAGGAAACCCAAGGTTGTCCTCAGCCTCCAGGCTTAGGGCTCCTTTTATAACCCAATTTCAAAAAGACCTCTCTAAATGCAGACAGAGTGAAACCACGCACAGTGGACTCAGATCAGGCATGGCCCCAACCTTGTCTGTGCCCCTTAAAGCTTGGGCAGATTCAGCAGGAATTGCTGGGATTGTGTTAGATCACCATGGGGCAAAGAGGAGCAGAAACAAAGTTGCTTCGTCATTCATATTCCTCTGATTCAAAGCACTCCCATAAATACAAGAGTTATAAGGCGCATCTCTGGTCAGACCACACTCCCAGCAGTTTCAAGGATTGTTCCTGTTTCTGTGGTATCTGCTTTCACGCTATTTGAACTGGCCCATTTCAAAGTTTTGCCCCATGGGTCCCTAGCCTCCTCCCCATCCCATGGATCAGAGTAACTGGTCGTCAAAGCTGTTGTGGGGGGGGGGAGAGAAGCAGCCATATTTTACCCTCCTTAAACAGGGATCAGTTGTGTCAGCAGCAGAGGCAGTTCGGAATTGTCTTTCCAGCTAATATTTATGAGCCCTTCCATGCACAGAGGCTGGCTACGGGTTTCCCACCCACCCACATTTCAGGCTAATCGCAAGCCTGCGAGCAGTAGATTCACTTATGGAATGGTTTGAACTGCCTCACTGCAAGCATACAATGATTTTGCCACAACCCAAATCTGTTTCTCTCCTCTTGCAGCCTAGTCTTAGGAGAATTCTTCCACTCACCTCCCCCCTCCCTCGCCTTACCTCTCCGATTCCTCTTTTAAGTCTGAAGGGGTTTAGTTTGCCCTCGACATTTATAAAGATGTATTCTGAGCAAATGTTGAGAAGATTTGTTCCTTTCAATCTTGTGGGGTGGCAGGGCATGAAATAACTCACCCCCACCATGTCAAACGCTAAGATCCTTCCATATAAATGGGAAAACAAACTCCTCCCCCCCCCCAAAAAAGCTGGAGTTTATAGAGGATTTCCCTTGACAATTTAGCTCTCTTTTCCTTTGTGTGTGCCTGCATGTGAGTGCGCACACCGGCATTTCCTATAGACAGTTCTTTTGATAATATCTCTGGATCCCCTTGTTAGGTCTGATGAGAGGACCATGTGGACAAAATCCTACCGTTCTGTTCTGTTCTTTGATTTCCATCGGATACCAACAGATATTACAACATGGCTTTTACACAATTCCCTCACATTCAGAATGATCTTTGTTACTCAGGCTTACAGAATTAGGGAATGATTGTATTTTAACTCAAAACCTTACACCTGTTCTCTGTCTCTCTCTCTTTCTCTCGTGAGGGAATTTTTTCTGCATGCATTTGTCTTTTGCTCTCTGGATTTGCAATCAATACTGCAGCAGAAGGGTTAGAGATTCCACAGTAACAAGACTGGCATTTAATATAATGGCATTCCTAATTTCTAGTAAACAAAACTATAAAACTGAGGTCTTGAATATAATTTAATTGTTCTTGAAATCAGCATCTCCTGAATATTCTTAAACCTCATTTTTTCTACCAGCTGAACAAAAGTGCTTACAATTTTAAAATGCACATTGGTTTGGGAAGTATTTCAGAAGAGTTTTAAATCAGCACCATTGTATATCTTGGCTTCTACATCAGTATATCCAGCATTTCTCTGGTATCTGCAACCATAATTTTCTGCAAATTTTGCATATAGTACTTCCCCAACCTTTTGCACTTCATTCTCTGCTGCGGGTCTCTGATTGCTCAAACACTTCCGATCAGACTGGTTACCTATACTTTTCATAACACTGTTCCGATGATCACTCCTCTCTCTCAGCTTTATAAGATTAGGCTCTAAACGACCAAAAAAAAAAAAAACCCTAAAAAAGATATTTGGAAAAAGTAATAAAGCAGTTCCTTACCTGTGCCTGCAAGCAGAAAGCAAACAAGTGCAGTAGCCTAGGATAATGGGGAAGGGAGGGAAAGGAGGGGAAAAAACACAAAGTAGATGGTGAGATGATTTTGCCTTTGAAATGGAGCAGAAATAAAAATGGAAAATGAATGAAGGGAGCTTTTTTTTCCGGGGCGGGGAAAAGGAAACCGGGACACCCAAACAAATAAGCAGGGGCTACTTACAAATAGCTAAATATGGAAGAGAAGAGGTTCATCCTGAGCGGGTTTACACGGTAACTTGATCGGTCACCGGAGCAGAAAGTGGCGCTGGAGGCTCCGGGTCGGCGCGGGGTTTGCGCCGCCTCGCCTTTTGTTGACTTTCACGGGCGGGATGCGGGGCCGCGGGCGACTCTCCCCGTCGCGCGTGTCTAGGGGCTACTTACAAATAGCTAAATATGGAAGAGAAGAGGTTCATCCTGAGCGGGTTTACACGGTAACTTGATCGGTCACCGGAGCAGAAAGTGGCGCTGGAGGCTCCGGGTCGGCGCGGGGTTTGCGCCGCCTCGCCTTTTGTTGACTTTCACGGGCGGGATGCGGGGCCGCGGGCGACTCTCCCCGTCGCGCGTGTCTTGTCT